AAGTAATGGCGGTGGGCACGCGATTTTGTTTTTTGTTGATAGCATCTTGATATCGCGTTTTAGGCATTTGTTTACTAATACCAATTGAGCAGGACAACAGTAATTTAAAATATAAACAATAAAACGCAAATGTACAAACTGTCTTTACGCTCACTTTAATTTTCAAATGGCACCTACACCTATTAAAACAAACCGTGAACTTGTTAAGTCTTTTTGGAAACAAAACGTTCGTAATGCGAAAGAAATTTCAAAAAAAAAAAAAAAACTGGGATTCTTGTGAGCGTTATGTTTTCATACTTCGAAAAAATGGTCAATTGCCCAAAATTCATCGATCTGGCCGACCACGAAAATTATCTCCTGAACAACGTCGCCAAATTGGAACTTCACGACGTCTAATGAATTGAAGACTATGCTGGAAACAAAATACCCAGAGTTAGGTGTTAGTGAGCGTACTATTCGCCGAAGCCTTAACAAGATTGGGTTTACTTCAGTTCTACCACGCAAAGTGCCTGTTTTAACGCAGCAAGCGAAAGCCAACCGTCTAACTTGGGCACGTGATCACTCGCAATTACAATTGGAATAAAGTGGGGTTTTCTGACGAAACTACAATCCAAATGTTTTGCAATACAACCCGTGCATGGTCACGCAAAAAAAACCCTGTTCAACCTATGGTGAAGCATCCCTTATAAAGCTCACGTTTGGGCTGGGATTAACATTAAGGGGAAAATTGGAATGCACATATTCGCAGAGAATTTAAATCGCCACTTATATCGGTAAATCCTCAACAATCATTTATACGATAATGCTGATAACTTGCTGGGCCACAACTGGGTATTTTAGCAGGATAATGACCCAAACATACATCTCATGGCGTTCAGAGCGACTTGAAATCTCGTCTTCCACGACGTGTTCTTCCTTGGCCTTCGTACAGTCCAGATCTCAATCCAATTGAGAATGTCTGGGCAGTTCTGAAGCATAATATTGAAAAACGCAATAAGAAAATGGTTGCGGAAAAAGTAAAATTTTCTCAGTCCGTTTTTTAAAATTTAATTAGGGAGAAATGGGATGGTCTCGAGAAAAATGTCATAGTTAACAGCATCAGTAGTATAAAAAGTAGAATTCAAGCTTGTATTGATGCTAAAGGAGGCCATACTAAATATTAAGTAATTAATAAAATTTGTAGCCCTAATGTTTGGCTTTCATTAGAATTTTTGGATTTGTTTTTATCTTTCAAGCTGAGCTCATTACGTCCCAAAAACTGACCACCATTACTTTTGCCGGGGACTGTACATGAGAATTACATTAATGATGCTATTGGTATTAATAATGCTTGGTAAAGACGTAGTGACATGGTTAGAATATGGAATGAAACTCTCGATACTATTGTAATAGCGATGAAAATACATTTATTTCTGTCCAAAAGTTAGGAATCTATCGTTTTTTAGCACGTAGCTTGGCAATAAAGTCGATTCACTTATGATAACAAAACTGCAGCCTGACCTTCTGGTGCAGAAAATACCGACATACAGTTGACGCTGTCTATAGTGAACCGAATCTAATAAAATTGTCATATCGTTATCGTGAAATTGATTCTCTGATGATTATACTCCATATTTGTCAGAATGGTTGCCAGGAAAAAAAGATCAAATATTCTCGATTAATAAGCAGTATTATTCCCAATGTTAAAAGAAAATAATAGTGAACGAAAAGTTCGGATTGCAATAAGCTCATTTCTTTTTTGCTGAAACAAATGATTAGCTTTTGATACGTGAGAATTGTGGAATTGATACACTATGACTAACATATATGCATACATCATTCTGATAAGAATATATAATGCTAATGACGGGAGGTAAGAAAATTATTGGATTGGAGATTTGAACTGTGATTAATAGTCGAGCGATTTGTTGCTATTATTATTGTCGTCGTCGTCGTAGTAGTAGTAGTAGTTGTTATTAGAAAAAACGGCGGACAACTTTTTTTTTACTGTTGTCGTTGTCGTCGTTGTTGTTAGGAAGAAGTCGAACAACTTTATTGTTGTTGTTGTTGTTGTTGTTAGGAATAAGTTGAATGATTTTTTAATGTTGTTGTCGTTAGGAAAAAGTCGAATAACTTATTATAATTATCGTTATTACTGCTGTCGTTGTTGTCGTCGTTGGTTGTTGCCTAAAAATTGTAAGTTGTTCTCATGCTATGGTCCGGTGCAAAAAGATTTGCACCTCAAAAAATGCCAATAAAAAAACTTTTTTTTCTTATTAAGTAGGTTTCTTTTCTATTTATGAAAAAGAAATCCTGGGCTTTACCGAGGAACATGCGTGGCTGCTCTTGAAAAACGAATGAACGACAATGAAGTCGCGGAAATATGAAAATACTAATTTCTGATATGATCTATACATCATTATCAGAATCGTTATAGTCATCGAATTCTTCGTCAATAACTGTATATCTTCATCTGACTCAAAATATTTGTCCAAGCCCAACTATAACTTTTGTATTAATTTTAGTTTTCAACGCATCTAGAAGAGTATTTCAAACAGATAAAAGGTTGGTGTGAAAACTTGTTCGCCTGTTTTATTGGCATTTAAAATCTTCGTGTGCAAAATTTTTGTAATAACAGAATTCGAACAGAGTATAAAAAATCGACAGTATTAACAAAAAAAGAGAGAGCAACGAGTTGAAAATATTAAACTAAAAGTCTGACGCATTACTGGTCAACCTGATGCAATAAATTGAAAGCAGTTCTGCTAGTCATAACAACTAAATGAGTGGACGAAGGCAAATTGAGATGGCAGTAGTAATAGACCCCAATAAAACCAAAGAATAAGCCAAAGGTTGTAAAAAAGTTTAATTAGAAAACATTACTATCAAAGAAATGTTAGAGGGGTTTCTTGGTTCAAAAAAACGATATCTCTCGCTATATCTTATAGTAAGGTGACAAAAAAAGAATATCGGAGAATTAGAAAAAAAAACTTGAATTTCAAAAAGAAAGTGCTAGATGCTATCAGCGTTTGTGAGTAAGCCAGAAGAAGCAGATTATTACAGAAAGTTAATAAGAAAGTCGAAAGAAACAAGATATAAATAGAGAAACCAGAGAAGGGTTAGGTTAGAACAATTCAGTGACAGATTTGAAAAGCAAACGATAGCAGAGAAAAGCAAGAAAAAGAACTGCCCATCAACGAAGATCTAATGTCTTTTACAAACGACAAATAAACGATTTGGGCTATTACTGAAGCACTGCAAATTGAAAGAAATAGTCAAATTTCAAAGGAGTGAAGTAAAAACAGAAACAAAGGTTTCGAGTCACGTGTCCCGCCAAATGCAAAGGATTGTTAGACAAGATATCTTAGAAAAAAGATTAATCATCTAGAAGAAGAGAACAAGAAAGTTGAAAGAACAGAGCATTAGAATGGTCAAATAAAGACTAAGAAATGACCGTGATTGAAAGCAAGGTAGTAATTTAAAGATTGAGGAAAAATTGCGATTCACTAACTTATTGACGAAGTCCAATGATAATAATAAAAGTGCTATAAATATTAGCGATAAGAATAATCGCCACCCATGTTGGCAAAATGAGTTTATAGTAAATTTCTTTTATTATATATGGGCATGCAGTGTTATTGTTATGTAGTCTAGTTCTTTCTATACATCAGTGAAAAGAAGATAATTATAAGTCCACAAATGGCTGCTGATTTGTTTCTTTATATTTATCTTGGTTTTCATAGTGTTTATCGACTTTTATGTTTCGTAAATTCCATAAGCATTTTTTTTCTGCATAAGCCACAGTTGTGCCATTAAAGCCAAGATGTCATCAGTGACTTAGTCTTTTCAGCCACATCAGCCATTTTTATTCCTGGTAGTTTAATTCGACTACCAAAGCGTTATGTAACATGATCGATTACCTCTGCTAAACCACCTGACCCCCTCTCCCTTTGCCAAACGGAGATATCGATCTCTTCAGTATAAATTTGAAAACTTCTACCAGTTACCTATTTTCGACTCGGAAGAAAAAGTTTACATTCTCTAGCAAAGACGAAGCGTTGTTTCATCACGAAAGAGCGAATCGTTTGGAACAAGTCACTTTAGGATACAAGTCTATGACGAGATAATATATCTGCGTGTTTATTCGGCCGACAATTTTTCATTATAACCCTCTCAATCTCAGAGTAAAACATTTAGCACTTGAAACATAGATTCATTTTCGGAGAGAATTTTATGCCGCTGTATAACGGCATGCCTTTGTTAGTCATCTATCACATATTTGATAATTGTTCTGAATGCAACAGAACAGGCAATTCACTCATGATAAGATATTATTATGGATCACAATAGGAACGAACCCACGTTCTGTAATTCTTCTGCAATACACTATTCAATTGAATATATATTTCAACAATACTGTGTCTGTATAAATAGCAATATGTACTACTTCAGTACAAACTTCCTCTTGCTGTGATTCTGGCATGATTTTTATGCAAGATACTGTATCTTTATAACTGTTTCTGTCGACAATGATTATGAAGGGCAAGTGTAACTTGGTACAACATATCAGATGATTATCTTTCGGTGATTCTGACAACCGTTGAAAGACAACGCGTCAATTGCTTTTCGTCTTGACGTATACGTGATTCTCGTTATACACTCTTGTCCCGCTTTGTCTCGTCCCTTGACTGCAGAACGCAACTCTTGCATTCTCCATTGTTGCTCACTATTCCATCTCTCCCATTTCTTACCTTCCCCATCCTCTCATTTGCCACCAAGAAATGACTCAGCTCTTTTGGGATCTTCTCCTCGAGTATCCTTCTACTTCTGCTTCCATTCTCGGCCCACCGGAAAATGACACTTTCGAGACCTATAACAGAAAACGTCAAGAGTTTCTATTACAGACACATACGGAAAACCTCCACAGCATGGCTAGAAGGCAAACGTCACAGTTGTTGGCATTAAGGGAGGAGATAATAAGCAGTTTTGACGATGACTATGTCTGTGGAGTGGAGAATGAGATGAAACTAAAAAGTGAATGTGAAGGATACAATGATGAAACTGACGAAGGCGGGGGTGGACGTAAACTGGATAACGATAGAAATAAACGGGATGGTGATGACGGATACAGAAACGGTGAGATAATACCGACCGAAGATGAAAATGACTATGATATGGTAGTAGACATGGAAATTGATGATGATGATGATATTGAAACTCAGTACATTGAAATTGGTGGTAGTACCAGAGACGAAAGTATGAATCCGTCGTCAAGTCAATCGGAAGCCCAACAAGTTTGTCACTCACAGGGCGAATATCTCCACACTCAACCTTCTTCTTCTGAAATTTCTCCCGAATACTCTTCTCAAAGTTCTCCGCAATGCCGCTACTCTCATGTCGGTTATAGTTCTCCGACGATGGAAGCAATCTACGACATCTGGACCAAACAATATGCTCTTCTTCGCATTAACCAGCGTTCTCAGTACGAAAAGCTCCGAATTCGTTATCTAAAAGAAATCATCGCAATAGAAAATATGATAATCCAATCGCGTAAGACGAGCGTGAGCAAAGTTTGTAAGGATGCAAAGAAAGAGAGAGAGCGAAAAGATAAGGAACATAATGACAAGATCGAAAAAAGAAAGTTGGAGAGGGAAAAGAGGAAAAATGAAGAGGGACGTGGATCGATTGACATGACGGATGAGAATCCAGTAAAGAGAATCAAAACTCAGGACGAAGATGGGACGACTGAAATGACTGCCAAGGTCAAAACGGGTGTGGGAACATTGGAAAGCGAATTAGAATCAAAGAGTCACGGTTTGGAGGACATTGCTGTCGATATCGACGAGGCTGCTGATGTTATAGCTTGCGATACTCGAGAGCAGAGTATAGATGATATTATGATTGTGAATATCAAGAAAGAAATTGACGATGAATTCATAGACGATCATCTCGAGAAGCAGAAGCAGACGACAGATGATAGTGTAGACGAAGGTGCTGTGAATCTGTCTTCATTAGAATATATAATAACAGATTTCAATGACATGAATCCGGGGAAATGTATGCATCTCGAGAAGCAGGCGGCAGACATCAACGATATTGGAATTGTCAAGCATGAGTTTTCAATCGATGATTTGGTAAACAATTCATGTGACGAAATTAATTCGAAAGGAAGCGCAGACTATGAAGCTGTTTATAGTAAAATCATGATGGAAACTTACGATACAAAGAAAATAAACCTGGGATACGAGTGCGAGAAAGATGATAAATGTAAACAGGTTGGGGGAAATGATACGGGAAGTGATATAGAAAATGATATGGAGAATGTAGGAGATGAGGATGATAGAAGGGACGAGGAGAATGTAGGAGATGAAGATGATAGAAGGGACGAGGAGAATGTAGGAGATGAGGATGATAGAAGGGACGAGAATAATATAGGAGATAGAGGCAATATAGGAGATAAAGATAATATGAGGGACATGGATAACACAGTGTACATGAATAACACGGTATACATGAATAACACGGTGTACATGAATAACATGGTTGGCATGAATAACATGGTGGACATGAATAACATGGTGATGAATAACACGGTAGTCACGAATGATATAGGGAAATCGGGCAATGCGGGAAATGTGAACATTGTAGAAAACAGGAATATAGACACTGTGCAAGGCGTGGATAACGCGGATAATGTGAGAAATGGGAGTGTTATTGAACATGCGAATATTGTGAAAGATACAGGTATTGTGAAAGACGTGATGGGTATGGATTTTAATATGGGAGTCTATCCGTACGAAGAAAGCTCGGGAGGACCACATAATCCATCTCGCGAGACTGCTATCGCGGCTCCGCAACTGTTTGTAAATCAAACCTATAATATCCAAAGCAATTCACAGTTAAACAACCGTCCAGTGTTTTCACAATTTTCCGTCAACCCAACCCAACAACTATTGGCATTGCCTACTCATAAACTACCATATCCGACACGAGGGTCGATGGTTTTACCTTCTCAGATACCTTCATACACGACGGCGGCACGACCGACTCTGCCTTCTCATGCACCATCTCATATGATACCGCAGCAGATACCGCAGCAGATACCACAACAGATACCACAACAGATACCACAGCAGATACCACAGCAGATTTCACAGCAGATTCCACCTCAGGGATTACGACGACCAGTGGTTTTTCCATTACGTGCATCTTCATACAATACGACACGACCAGCTTTAGTTTCTCTCACACAAACCAACCCGACTCTCCAGCCTTTTCCATTTCCTCGCACACAATCGCGACAATACGCTTTATCACAAACGGCTCTACCTACTCACCCACCATCATCGTACACGATAACGAATCCACTCTTCTCGACACAGCGATCGACGAATTTATCTTCTCAAAAGCCATCGTATATGATACCGCAACAATTATCTTACATGACACCACAGCCCGTGATTCCATCGTCCCGGCGAAATGTTTCGAATCTTACACTCAATATTCCTCAAAATCAGCTTGGTCCTGGATGGTCTGTCCCTTCGACCGTCCCTTCGAATTTTATTTCAACGCCGTCGACTCCAACTTCAAACTCGATATCTCCTATAACACCTCAAAACGCATTTGATTCCTCACAACCAGTGTATCATTTGGGGCAGCAAATAAAAGGTTTCGATGATTTAATTCATGGGTATCAAAATACAACACAGAATCCTGAGTAAGATATCGAGATAAGAGGCTGAGGGGGGTGGGAGTTTTTTTAAAAAAAAAAGACGCAGATATGAAATCAATGTTGGTGGTTGAGGGTTTCTGATAACATAAAAAAGAAATGACGGATGAGAACGTGACGTTGTGTATAGTTGGAGGGGATTGGATAAATAAATGAATAAGAGTATTTTTGTTGTTTAGATATCCCTGAAATTACTAATAATAACGTAAACGAAAAACCGATATGTCGTCTCCCACTCTCAACTCTGTTTGATTTCCGTTTTCTTTCAAATGGGCTTGGAGATTTATTGCGTGTGTTACCTTGTCAGTCAATTCTGGCGAAAGAATCGTTCCTATTTTACGCCAATCAGCCTGATAATAATAAAGCAATTTAAGGGCAAGATAAGAATAGAATAATCTATTACTATGTATGAATTATTCCGTGATACAGTGAGTCATAGCTGTTCTATATAAATGGTAATTTGATTATCTTAACGCTTTGCAGATTTACAGATCTTTTTTTTTGTAGCACGAAAGGTTAAGTTTGTCCATATTAGGTGATATAATGATCGATTTCCCCCCAAAAATTGACAACTTACTGAGACAATCGAGTCGAGTCGAGTCGAGTAAACCCTTCCCCCAACAGTTGAGCATGAAAGTAATCTGTAAAAGAAAAAGAGACGCCAATCTTTTATTGTTTGACTTCTATTCTTAGTTAAACCGGTGTAAATCTACGCTTTTACGTTCATTGCGACATAACCATAAACATAACGCACAATATTTGGATGACAAACAAAGCTTATCATGTATTACGTCTCGGATTATAGTTAATTTTTCCAGGCAGTTGTCTAACCCGAAAAAGCCCAAACAAATACATCCCTGTTTATTCAGTAGATATTTAAATCTGAGTCTTGGCATCTACTTTTTATTATTCTCCTTATTTATGACAGTTGAGTGAAAGGCATTGCTTTATCGAATTATGATTTCTTTTTGGATACCGGCTATTTATCGAGAAACCATCACGCCGTAAATATTTTTCTAGTATCGTTCATACGCGAATGTTTACATTCTTTAAACATACAAAACACCGATACTGGATGTAACAAACATAGCATAATAGAGGCACTGCACTGTTAACTGTAATCCATAATAATAATAATAACTGTCATCTATGAATATTCTGACTGCGAACAAACGCTTGAACCTTTTGTTTTACCTGTCTGGGGGAAAAGGCATTTACTATGAGACGTAGTCAGTGTTTACATGCAAGATGTTGACCCAAGGTGATGCAATGCTGATTTCATCTCCTAGTTACTGAGATGAATAAGTTCAAGAAAAAAAAAGACGTGAATCAGTATTCTTTTGTTAATTAATAAATAGAAATGCCCTATTATAGGGGTGAATTTTTAATTGGGCTTAGTCAGCATACTTCTCTGTAAGGTATTAGTTGCACAAAGTCGTCTCATCGCGTTTACAGAATGTCCAATTTAGATAGTCAATGAGTAACTGTCTTTTGAGATGTCGAGCGTCGGCACTATGACGTCAATCGAGTGAAAAAGTATTAATTAAAAATCAAAACGATAAAGTACGAAACGCATCTCCAAACAGATTGATTGGAATAATTTCGAGCATAGAAATTCTACAAGTTTCGCCATGTTTAAAAAATAGCCATGAGAGATCAACAACAAACGCCAAATTAGGACATTTGATAAGCGGACCCCATAGTAAGCGCATTATAAGACATGAGAAACGTAAATAGATTTACCAAACCTGAACTATCGTCTAACACATTAATATACAATAAGAGTAGTCATAATTTATTTAGCTATTAACACAATAAGTAGGCGTTCGTTATCTATTACTATGTAGTTATTACTCCTTTCTGCGGCATGTCGACGTTGTCGGTTGCACAATGTACAATGGTATGACAAAGGACGCTGATAGAAAAAGTGGACAATAATATATAAATAAATAAAAATAAACTACGATTATCTCTACTATTACTATTACATATTTAAATAAACGACACGTTAACGTAACAAATTTGGAGTTTGTATTACCTCTTTACAGAGACATAAAAACGAGCCGTTATTTGCTCAGTGCCACAAATTTTCTCACACATCAATGCAAGCAGACGAGTATTCCGCGCGCATTTCGCAACGTAACAGCAGCGTTAATGCTGAAAGGGCTAGATACGGGCCTTTTTTAGATGCATTCGACAGAAAAATTAAATTGCAGATTGTTGTCGAGCTGGAAAACCCCTTGTCACTTGCTAAGTGCTCGCGGGCGTGGCATAATCAAGTGCACTCGCCAAGGACAAAAGCCATGTGGTTGATTCGCAGATATGGCATACATACCCTTTTTCATACTATAAGAAGGCGCGAGAACATTGACGTCATTAACTCTCTCTTCGAACAACAAGTTCATCTTAGCCACTACTTGGCCCAAAGACTGATGAAATCCTACGGAAGGCCCGATGCCAACCTCTTCAATCTCCGACGGTCGTACAACGCTAATCAAGGAATAGACAACAACAATACAAATAGCATACCCTGGGGCGATGTAGCCTACAATATATTTCTTCGTATTCTCGGCGAAGCCCATAAGAAATTTGGTAAAGACCAAACCTTTCTTAATGGAGATGATATGGAGTTTTTTAGACTTTTGTCGATGACAGGGGATAATTGTCAGAAATTGGAGAATTTAATCAGAGAGTACGGTTTCGTCCCTTTTCCTCCTAGGCCACACGGGATCGACGGGTCACATGCTTTCGACAACAACACCGATGGTTATGAAGATCCTGATCATTTGAACGATATTGCACATGCGATACTTCTCAATCCAGACTTGGTCACTTGCTGGCAAGACAACGGCTATCATGAAGTTGTCGAGGATTTGAACGATTTTGTAATGCGGGCTTTGTTACCGTCTCTTGACCCACCTCCAGGTTGGGTTCCGCTCACGTTAGAGCAAGTGATTAACACCTTACATCGCCTATCATCGATCGGTTTTAAATTAACCGATGAGCTGGTTGCTGATGTAACCGCATCTGAACCTAGAGTACGACAAGCTTTTATTCGGGCATTTGCCATTATTCGTGGTGATGCTGGTATAACGTAGCAAGCATAAATATCAAATGGGAATCCCAGGCTTAGTTAACCATAGTTAGTTTAGTCCTCCTTTGTAGTCCTGGGGTTTTGATTAATAATAAAATATAACTTTGGCAAGTGTTTTTAATGCACTGCTTAAGAACACAAAATTGCCTGTTTGAATAGCGATAACTGCTTATGGTTTGTTTTTCTAAATACATTGTTTAACGAAAAAGAATGATTTTCACCCTTTCTACTCAATTCTGACGACGAATGGAACGTTTGGCAAAAGTCGATCAAGAGTTAAAACAAATTAAACCGTGGGTTTCAGGCTACTTGACAGGTAGCTGAGAGTTTGCACAACTCGTAGAAATGCACAAAGAGATCACCTGCCACGAAATGTTATGGCCTCGTGATGCCAATATTTGTCTGCCAAATTGTGTAATAGATACACTGTGATGGCCATATTAAATACCGTAAATAGTTTGCAAATTTCTCCATTCGATGGTAAACGAACATTTAAATTCAGTTGTTGTTCCATCCGCATCGATTGGGTCTCACAATGTAACGGTTCTTTCCGTATTATTAAAAAGTCGCACAATAACAGACTCCTAGAGGGACAGCTGACCAATGCTTTATATATACATGCTTAATAAGGTTATCTGTTAAATATTTTGCATTAGCTTCGCTCAAGGGAGAAACTCGACCAATCACAATCCAACACATTTCCAAAATGTTGGACACAACCAATAAGATTCCGACAATTGTTCAATACAAAGAACGAGTATATTACTTGTAAATGATATTAAGAACATTTGCCAAATAATAGTATTCTTTTATAGCTTCGTACAATATTACAGAATGTCCGAAATTTTAGCCAGCTAGGTTTAACATGGCCATTAATGTTTTATCGCATCTCAAAATACTAATATCTCTTACCAAACATTCTTACATGGCTACGCGAAGTTTTTAACTGCAAGTTATTAGTTTTGCTAGGTTATTTGATTCCACCGTGAGGTAACATGTTTGATAATGTTTTTGAATTTTAATCATTCCTTTGTAAGTTTTACATTATCACGTGTGAAGCACAAAAAATTGCCCGCTTGCATTCTCATTCCCCTGAACCCAAGAGTCATAATTAGTATAATGAATTGTTCGTAAACAAGTTCTTGACTATTATTCTCATGTGACATGTTACAGCAACCAGCGTCATATAGATAACAAAGCTGTCAGTTTTTAGATATCAGAAACGACAAACTTGTGGGTAATACAGGACTAATTTAGTGTCAAATTACATTATTATTTAGGGCAGTTACAGTGGTATACTAACTTTTTTTGGCGTATATAATAATAATAAGCTATATAAAAAGCGTATTGTAAATGGCAAACCCCGTTTGAATATCCGGCGTAGATATATAAAGGTGTACGATAAAATTAACGGTACTTAAAAGTAATAGACTCTTACATATATAACAATTTCCACTATTTGCTATGCCTCAAAAAAGAATAATACATCTTCATCCGACTCTCAACAGCGTAATCGCTTTTTAAGAGTTTATTTTTTAACAGAAGACGCAGAGCAATTTGACTTAAAGTTCAGATAAAATACTGCTTGCTAATAGGTTGTAAGGGTTTTATTAGGTTCTTACTTTTGTGCTTGATTATACAGCTCTCTCACAATAGAATCAGTAAATGACTTGACGTTTCATAACTCTGCTTCTTTATCAATAACCTTGTTTTCTGTCAACTCATAATACTCTTTAACGAATGCAACAACTGATTAGTATAACCAGATTTGTAATGTTTGCGTTAAAGATTTTTTTTTATCATCAATCATTGATTGTAATCAAAATTATAGTGTAGTATTACAAATCACATATAAACATTACCTATCAATTATAGCCTTTAGGTTTTGCTGATTAATACATGCCCGCAATCAAAAAGTGCAAGAAGATTAATCGTTATCAGTTATTTGTAATCCGAATAACTAAAATTGTTCAAGTTGGTCAAGTCAATGATAAAATATTTCACTCAACGCCTGTAGTTAAAGAAAACCTGCAGCAATTTTAGATTTCTGGCCATTGCAACACCTTATGTAACCCCATGGAACAACACTTGACTAAATAGGGGAAAATGTTATTATTTTAACTATAACTACGGTTTAGTTTATCAAGCCTATAATATAAAAGCCCGTAAAGAAAGATCCCCAATAAACGCAATACCTGTTTTTACCTAATATGGTTAATTATACAGATGTCCTTTAATAATTGGTCACAGAATTTAATTTGTCGTATTATGGGGATTATTGTTCATGCCCTTGTTACATCAGTTAGCATAATACAATAATAAAGAAAATAATATTTTCATTGGAATATAACAAGTATAATAATCGAACATTATAATGTTAAACGCTCAACAAACCATTTAAAAAGCCGGTTAAAAGTATATGAATATACAGGCAATTTGGTTTACAGCTACGAATTTTGGCTACAATGAATTTCATTAAGAATTGGTTATAACGAAAACTTATCAGAACAGTATATTGCGGTTACAAATTGAACGATAACGAAAACTTTCACCATAAGAGATGGTCTTTCGTTATAACAAAAGTTTTGTAAAAGGTTAATATCACTACGAGAAACTGTTACCACCATAAATTTGTAAAAAGAAATCATCTGTCTTCAGATATTGGTGCATTTAATCGAATTTCTTTACATGCTTTAAAAGAAAGAATATGAAAACTTTGCCTAATTATTCAATATAAGAGAAGAAAACTAATTTCAGTGTCTTCAGAAGTTTCAAGAGAAACCTAATTAAGGTAAATAATGTATTAATTTCATTTAAATAAATTTATCGATTAGGTATTATTAAAAAAGACATTTTGAAATAATGTTGCGCCTCGGGAAATGCATGTTCTGACCCATTTCTGAATTTGACCCACTTCCGAATCGGGTCAACCCATTTACTCGATTATATCACTTCATAATGATGTCAACAACAAACATAATAATAATAAAAAGAAAAATTAATGTCATGTCTCTAATTAGTTGAAGCTTTTTATAACTGGCAGTTAGTCGTTAACACAGTCAGTATTTGTAAATGACAGTCAATTCCACATTGCTTATTTAATCTCCGACAAGAACATTTTCGTGTGTCTTGCATTTTTACACTTACTATACTATTACCAACTGCATTTTGCGATCTAAGTGCCTCGGTCAAAGATACAACAGTCTCCGAATAGTTAACAGGTCAGGCATGGTAGCGAATGTCTAATATTCCTGAACTACAGCCAAGCTGTATTAACCTCTTTACCACTTTCTATTCTTTGTGATAGCCTGAATTACCTTACAATCCTTTTTTGTTAAAGCCTAATTATTTTGTATCATCATACAATTTCGACATTCAATTATTCAATCGTTCTGTTCTTTGTGGTTGCTGGATTCCCTTACGATCCGTTTTTGTTGAAGATCTTAATTGTTTTGACTAGCATACAATTTCGAAACCAATTATCGTTCTATTCTTTGTGGTTGCCTGACTTACAATCCTTTTGGTTAAAAGCCTTAAACATACGATCTCTAAATAGCTACTTACTGCATCAACAAACTGAAGATCATAACTGCAGCTGGTGAGGCAGATCAGACTAGTAGAATATAATGAATCGTATGATCAAAGCAATTATGGCTGTTAACAAAAAAGTATTGTAGGACAAGTTGACATGTCAAACAATGACATGACATAGATTGAGGAATATCAACATTGCAATTCGGTGTCTTTCACTTAGCATCGTCAGGAAACAAACATATCTAATAATCATTTTAACTTCATCTCTCGCGCCAGATTTGATGAATTGGTGGAGAATTACTTGAATAATATGTCACT